GAAATTGATCAAAATGCAGTCAAGATGTATTGATAATTATTGATGATTGGAATGCAAAAATTGGAAACAAAGAGGAAGGATCAGTAGTTGAAAAATATGGCCTTGGTGATAGAAACGATGCTAGAGATCGTAAGACCAATGACTTCTTCATTGCAAATACCTTTTTTAAATAGCACGAAAGATGACTATACACATAGACCTCACCAGATTGAATACAAAGAAATCAGACTGACTACATCTGTGGAAAGAGATGGTGGAAAAGCTTCATATCAGGAATCAAAACAAGGCCAGGGGAGACTGTGGAATAGACCATCAATTGCTCATATGCAAATTCAGGCTGAAGTTGAAGAAAATTATAACAAGTCACCAAGAGCCAAAATATAACCTTGAATATATCCCATCTGAATTTTGAGATCATCTGAAAAACAGATTTGATGCATTAGACAATAATGACCAAAGACCAGAAGAGTTGTGGGATGACATCAAGAACATCATACCGGAAGAAAGCAAAAGGCCATTAAGAAGACAAGAAAGAAGGAAAAGACCAAAACGGATGTCAGAGGAGACACTGAAACTTGCTCTCCAGCATAGAGATGCTAAAGCAAATGGAAGAAGTGTGGAGGTAAAAGAGCTGAATAGAAAATTTGAAAGGTCAGCTCAAGAAGACAAAGTCAAATATTATAACAAAATGTGCATAATACCTGGATTTAGAAAACCAAAAGGGAAGAACATGCTCAGGATTTCTTAAGCTGAGGGAACTGAAGAAAACATTTGAGTCTTGACTTCAATTCTATATATATAGGCAAAATATTAAATGATGCAGAAAGCATCAAAAGAAGAAGAAGAAGAAAATATACAGAGAGTCACCGTATCAAAAAGAAATGGTCAATGTTTAATCATTTCAAGAGGTAGCCTATGACCAAGAGCCAACGATACTAAAGGAAGAAATCCAAGATACATTGAAGGCACTGGCAAAGAACAAGGCACAGGGAACTGATGGAATACAAATTGAAATCGTTCAACAGACTGATACGGCACTGGAGGCACTCACTCATCTCTGCCAAGAAATCTGGAAGACAGCTACCTGGCCAACCGACTGGAAGAGATCCGTATTTGTGCCCATTCCAAAGAGAGGTGACCCAATGGAATGCGGAAGTCATCGAACAATGTCATTGATATCCCATGCGAGTAAAGTTTTACTAAAGGTAATACAGAAACGGCTGCAAACATACGACAAAGAACTTCCAGAGGTTCAAGCTGGATTCAGAAGAGGACAATGAACAAGGGATATCACTGATGATATCAGATAGATCTTGGCTGAAAGCAGAGAATACCAGAAAGATGTTAACCTGTGCTTTATTGACTATGCAAAGGCTTTCCATTGTGTGGATCAAGACAAGCTCTAAACAACATTGCAAAGTATGAATATTCCTGAACACTTAATTGTGCTCATGAGGAACCTGTACATAGACTAAGAGGTAGTTGTTCAAACAGAGCATGGGAACACAGTGAATGGTTTAAAATTAGGAAAGGTGTGGCTAGCATTGTACTCTTTCACCATACTTATTCAATCTATATGCTGAGCAAATAATCCAAGAAGCTGGGTTATATGAAGAAAAACGTGGCATCAGGATTGGAGGAAGATTCATTAACAAGTTGCAATATACAGATAATACAACCTTACTTGCTGAAAGTGAAGAGGACTTAAAATACTTACCGATGAAGAGCAAAGACCAGAGCCTTTGGTAAGGGTTGCATCGCAACGTAAAGAAAACAAAATCCTCACCACTGGACCAGTAAACAACATTCTTATCAATGGAGAAAAGATTGAAGTTGTCAGAGACTTCACGTTGCTCGGCTCAACCATCAACACTCACGGAAGCAGCAGTGAAAATGTCAAACATACTGTATTAGGCAAATCTGCTGTACAAGAGCTCTTTAAGGTGTTCAAGAGCAAAGACTAAGGCATGCCTGACCCAATCCATGGTATTTTCAATAAACTTATACACATGTGAAAGTTGGACACTGAATAAGGAAGACCGTAGAAGAATTGATACATTTGAGTTATGGTGTTGGAGGAGAATATTAAAAGTACCATCGACTGCCAAAAGAACAGACAGATCTGTGTTGGAAGATGTCCACGGAAGCCAGAATGGCCACCAGACTTTCTCTCTCATACTCTGGACATATTATCAGGAGGGAGCAGTCCCTGGAGAAGGATGTTTGGTAAAGTGGAGGGTTGGAGAAAAAGAAGACGACCCCCAATGAAATGGATAGGCACAGTGGCCGCTGTGACAGGCTCAGGTGTAGCAATGATTGTGGGGTTGGCCCAAGACCAGGCAGTATTTTGTTCTGTTGCACACAGGATCGCTATGAGTCGGTGCCGACTCGATGGCACCTAACAACAACAACAACAAAAGAGTGCAGACACATACTTAAAAAAAAAAAATGTACACATCATTTAACCCAACAACTAAAGCTTTGCCTTGGGGTGCCCCCTCCCCTTGGCCTTTCTCTTGCCTCTACTTTGGTGGAAGGGTGTGGCGCTGTAGGTTAGGTACTGGACTTCAAGGTCAGTTTGTGTTGCAAGGTCGGCAGTTCCAACTCACCAGCCACTCCTCAGAAACTATACAGGGTCGGAATCAGCCCTACAGCACTTAACAATAACAACAATTACTTTCCATGAAAAAGAGGGTGTCTGATATGTGGCTGCCTGGGCGAAGAGGTCGCAGGCAGGGCAACGGGGACTGGGCAGGAAAAGGTGACAGATGGGACGTGGGAAGGAAGCAAGCCCTGACCCAGGACCGGTTCTGAAACATGAAAGGGTTTGTTTTAACTTACTGAGCAATCACTCACAGTTGTCGATGAAGATGCTTGTGCCGTGGACACACGCTATACCTGCTGGACCTTAGACCCACCTCTGGTTGGCACTAGTCCCAACCACAGCCGACTGAGTTCGTCTACTTGTGGAGAACCACTTCCCTACAGACACACAGGTGTACGGGACAGGTATCTAGTGGCTTCAGCATCCACAGGCTCTGTCTGTCTCACCCTGATGGGGATTAGCCAGGCCAGGGTTCTCGGACGATGACAGTCCTGCCCCAGTCTGGGGCCACCGAGCCAGAAGAACCCCATTACCTGTCTCCCAGTCCCAGCATCCTCCACAGAGAGCCAAGGGCAGACAGAGCCCCTCAGGATGGCCCTGCAGCTTGGGGCACCATCTTGTAGGCTTAACCCATGCCCACCCCGTGATGTCAGAGGGCCTGGTACTAGAGGAACACGGTGGGCACTGTGTGGCCCAGCCATCAGCTCATAGTCTCCAGAGGCCCACACTTAGTAACAGGGAAAGACCATGCATAGAAGTAGAGAAACAGGCAGGGGCTGAGACAGGGAATTCAGGCAACATCCCAGGCCTGGACCAAGGAGTCTGAGGCATGGCTGGGTGTGGGGCTGACGAGGGAATCTGGCTGGCCCTGGACTCCATGCCCAGCATGCTGCGCCTGCAGAGTGGGGCAAAGGAATGATGGCTACTCTCCTGGTGTTGGCAAAACCCCGGCAGGGCACCAGCTTGTGTCACGCCTTGAGCCCTGCTCCTCCAAGCCACCAGAACATTCCCAAGCCCAACGATTCTGAAGCCGGGCTCTCCGGGAGCAGAGCTTCCTAGCACACGTTCTCAGTTATTCCCCAAAGCAGGAGGAGAGGCGTGAAGGACGGCTGGGAGGAACCGGGCTCCGGGCCACAGAGGGAAGGCCAAGGCTGCAGGCCCAGGGAGTCCCCAGATGAGCCGGGCACAGCAGGTACGCTGGCACCCTCGCCAGGTGGCTCCAGGTCCCAGCAGGACCACCAGAGAGCAGAGTAGCACTGAGTCACTGAGAGCAGTAAAAACCAGACACTGGAAGGTCCCCTGATCCCGGCGCTCCATGGGGCAAGGGCCCCCTGTCTAACGGGACCAACAAGACTCTTTGGGCTCTGACAACAGAGACCCACTTCAGGTGGAGACAACAATGCCTAGAGGAGCCTCAATTCAAGGCCATAGGCAGCAGGCCTGTCCACTCCAAGCAGACGACAGCGAGGTAGCCAGAGCTCCTTGGGGGAGACCCCCGGGAGAGCTTGCAGGATGTCTCCGCTTACTCCCGCACCCAGAGAGCAGAGTGGCTTGGGACTCCTTGGGGTTCTGAGACTCTGGTGGGAGCAGTCCCAGCAGCCAATCCACTCACTCCCCTCGTCGGCATCGAATTTCCCAGAAATGTGGCTAGGGGCGAAGAGAGAAGGGGCCATGACCACTAGGAGAACTTCCCTCCACTTAAGCTTGCTGGCCTCATAAACACTGCAAAGGGCCCAACGTGACATTCCACCCAGCAAGACGGCGCGGTGGGAACACGTGGTTCTCCTGATGAGGGTGCCAATGGCCGAGATCAATGCAGGGGCCACTGCAGATAAAGCAAGGGTGCCGTCGAGGCGAGAAGCAGAGAAGCACGCAGGGTGGGACAGGAAGACAGACGGATGGCGCAGAAGACGGGGTGGGGGTAGGGCGGAGTGGGACGTGTGTGGGAGAGAGCAGGGCCAGCTGGGCTGAGACTGGATGGAATCGCTCACGCCCTCCTCTCTGCTCCCTGGCCCAGTTCCAAGTTGCTGGCTGCCAGAGAAGCAAAGCTGGGAAGAGTCAAGGGCGGAAGCAGCCAGGCTGCATGCTAGTCCCCGAGAGGTGGGCAGTCTCGGTCAATGAGGCACTCGCTGGGTTTTGTGATTCCTGGCCGTCGAGCCTCTGGAATCTGAGGGCTGCAAGGCCCAGCCCAGGCTCAGCAGGGTCAGGACTCAGGCCCCAATAAGAGCGGAGCAGCAAGCCCACCACAATGGTATGGCTCATCCCCCCTTAAAGGCACGGGGGGCAGCGGCTGGGCAGCAAGGCAGAGCAGAGTTCAAGAAAGAAGATGCCCAGGAAGCGAGCTGAAAGCCTGCCATGACTGGCTCCCTCAGACTGGCCCTTCCACTGCACTAACCTTGGTGCTGTGGGACGGTTTGTTCTTCTTGGGGTCAGAGAAGGCAGAGAGTGGAATTGTGGGTAACATGGGGTAGTCGGGGCTGGGCCTGGACACCGTTTCTGCTCCTTCGGGCATTACCATCACCTAGTGATAAAGAAGAGACAGGTGTTACCAGGGCAAGAAGCAAGCCTGTCGGGAGGATGAGGGCAGCTCTGAGGGAGCATGCCCAGGCTTCCGGAAGTTGGTTCTGCGGACAAGACATCCCCTCTGGCAGGGTAAGCTGGGCGTACCTTGTGCACTCAAGGCAAAGCGAAGAGAAGCCGAGGCCCAGGATGGCTGGGTCGGCAGGGCAGAGGGAGGGCAGGAAGATGTGCCCAAAGCACCAGGGGAATGTGGTCAAAGTATGCAGGAGTCCAAGACAGAAGTGGTGTGGAGGAAGAGAGGCCAGCCGCCCACACGGCAGGAGGACACAGAGGAGCAGCCTTGGATAAGGTCAGGTGGAGATGGCCCGCACTCCCCACTCTCAGACGGGGAAAGCAGGAGTAAAGGGCAAAGAGCAGAGAATAGCCTGGGTGGGGTGACTTCGGCAAAAGCTGCTGGGCTGGCCAAGAGCGAGCCTGTGGGAAGGGAGCGTCAGCTCCTGGTCAGAAGACCACAGGAGGAGAAGGGCCTGGGGCCTTTGGAGGTGCCCCCACGAAACCCCGATTCCAGCAACGCTCGCCATGGCGAGCCAAAAGAGGGAGCGAAAGCTCAGTCCGAGGCCTCTGGGTACCAGCACTGTACTGCATTACAAGCCAACTGCCACCGAGTGGGCTCCGATGCCACAGCACTTCCAATGGAGTCTGCAGAAGAAGTGGTCAGGCCTGTCTTCCGAGTCACCTCTGGGAGACTCCAATGCCTGGACAGCTGCTGCCTTGTGGCGAGCCCACGTGTGTCTGTGAAGAACCGCGCTCCACACAGTTTTCGTGGCTGAGTTTTCATAAAGCACCTTCCAGATGGCGATGGGACAGAACAAGAGGACAGTGTGTTCCTGAAAGCGTCTTTAGCTCTATTGAGTGCATGTCATGGGTGGCCCTGGGCACCAAATCTTCCATCTAAAACGATATAGGACTAACAGTGCTGCCAGGGGTGGCCATGAGGTCACTTGGTCGAAATGGCCACAGCCTCTCGGCCCCACAACTCAGAGGAGACCATGAGTGGAGACGGAGGTGCTCAACAGTCTGTGGCACCATGCCTGTGTTCAGCTTTGGCCAGGCCCTTTGTAAACACTCGTACACCCATGCTGGGTGGCTAGCAGCGCGCAGTGTAAAGGAAGAGCCAGGCGGGAAGCTAAGCTTCCATCTCTGTCGTCTCCTGTTCTCTCGCTTCATACGGAGCTCCTAGACACACACGATTCCAGGCTAACTCTCTCTCCTTGGTACCAAAGACCCTTTCGAAGGAAGTCAATGAACGGAGCTTGAGTAGGTCCCACAGAAAGGATCAGATGAAAACAGCAGCTCACCCACCACAGCTGCCACCGTTCTGTGCGACTCAACTGCTCACTGAGCAAAAGCCAAGAGACAAGCCTGTGGGTGTGGGTGTGGGATCTGGCAGAAAAGAGGCGAGTTCTCAACGGCTCTGGTCTTTCTTGATGATGCTTCTGCAGCCTCACGTGCGAAAACAACACATCTCAGAACCATCCACCAGCTCATACAGGAGGTACAGAGAGAGCAGGTCTCATCAACTCTGGGTCCCCTGTTCCCCTAGCTCTTCTGGTGCCACAACCAGCATGCAAGGTCTGAGCTGTCTGCTACCAGACACCACTGCCAGTCCCATCAGGGATGCCAGGACTCCCGAGGGATTGCACCCCACGCCTCTGCCCCCTAAAAGTCTCTGGATGTTCTCAGACCGAGAGCTCTACTTGGTCATCCACCCAGAGCAAGACTCAAAGGCTTGCAGACCAATGAACAGGCAAAGTCCCCATTTGCAAACATCTCGTCCCAGCCCACCCCTCACAGATGGGCTGGCGCTCTCCTCCACCCTCTCTCGTTCTGTGCTGACAGGATGCACCTTTCAAGAGAGGCCTCCTGTGTCCTGAGCATGCCGACTCCCTGAGTGTCTCTGAGAGAGCTGATTCTGGAAGTTTCAGGGAAAGTACACACACAACCTATGAAAACACCGTGGGAAATACCCGAAGGTGGAGGAGCAGAGTGGGGGACCCAGACACCCCCCGTCATGTCAGTCTCGGCCCGCTGCCCCACTCCAGCAGCCAACTCACAAGCACCCCGTTCACGGGGACCCCCGCAGACTGGAAGCAGTTCTCTACAATCAACACAGCATTGTTTCCATTGTTCTGAGGCTTCGCCAAGACCACACGTGCGTTAGATGACAGGATCCACAGCTCCTCAGTTACAACCACACACTTATACAATCGCATCTTCCCACATTCCCATCCGTTTACTCACTCGTACACACACACGCGCGCGCACTCACATTCCCTCACACACACGCGCGCGCACTCACATTCCCTCACACACAACCGCCTACTCTAACGTTGTCAGTACTGTCGAATCAGTTCCGACTCACAGTGACCCTGAATAGGGTTTCCGAAGAAGCAGCTGATGGTTTGAACTGCTGACCTTGTGGTTCGCAGTCCAATGCTGATCCCACAACACCACCCCAGGACTCACACATGTGTGCACTCACATACACATAGCCACATAATCGTACATGCGTGGGGGGGAGAGCCTTCAAAAATTTTGTGGAAAGATATAATTATAATGGAACTTTTCCATGAACTTCTTATAAGCCCCCTCACACTCTCACACACACACACACACACACACACACACTGTGGGTTAGGCACTGGGGGCTGCTAACCTCAAGGTCAGTGGTTCAAACCCACCAGCCGCTCTGTAGCAGACTAAGGCTGCCTGGTTCTGTACACATTACAGCTTTACAGTCTCAGAAAGCCTACAGAGGGCTGTGATGAGTCACAACCAACTCACTGGCAATGGGTTTGGGGTACACACAACCACACACTCGTATGCACTCACCCACAACTCATATTCAACCACATATTTCACATACGTGCACACGTTAACATACACAACCACACACAAAGCACACTTATCACAGCACTCACACTCACCCATACTCATGCATGCACACACACACACACACACACACACACACACACACACGAGCTGGCCTGACAACTCCATCACAGGCCCTGGCATCACCTAGGTAAAGGCCCAGTAACTCCGGGTCACTCTAAGGTGGCTTCAGGATGTCCTGTGACCAACGTCAGCCTGCAGCGCCCTGCCCACAAACAGTCCAGGCCCACAGCCAGGCACCCCACCTCCTCCCTGCCAAGCCATGACCAAGTGAGCGGCGCCCCTCCCTCCCACCTCCCACATTCTCCTGGAACTCCATCCGGCCCGGGGGCTGGGAGGCTCCCACTTGGGAGCCCCAAGAACCCCACACAGGGACACCCCAGCACTCCACTCACACAATGTTGTGATCCTGAGCCTCCTCGAGGACTGCTCAGAGCAGCCACTGAAACCTCCAGCAGCCCTGCCCGGCCGGATCAGAGCCAGCTCCAGCACCAGCCACGCGGACAGACTGGCCCCGCGCCCATCAATCCTTCCTGGCCCCTCCGTGGAGGAAGATGCTAATTAACCACGGCCAAGCAGGAAACGGTGGCGGTACCAGCTGCCCAGTCATCCCTGCTGCCACCGCCCAGCACAGCCTGGGAACACCTGGGTCCTCTCACATTCCCCAGTACTACCTGGGCCACCTGTCCCCTGGGACACAGGCTCCTGGCTGCAGACCCCACGGTCCCTCCACCCAGTGTCACATCTACCCATCCATCTCAGCCAGGGTGCAGGCCGCCCTGGGGGGCACACTCACCCCGCCTGCCCTCAGCAGCTTGCACCGGAACTCGTAGGTGGGGTTGTTGAAGGTCAGTTTCTCACATCGGAGATGGTTCACAGGTGGGTTGCCCTCCAGGTTCAGGAACAGGTCATAGGTGAAGCATACCTTCCTGGGCTCCTCCTTCAACAAAGGAAACAGGAAGTCAGCTAGAGGGGGGCAGGAGGCTGCAGGGACAGAGGGAGCCACATCCCAGGCCCCAATGTTCCTCCTCCCCTCCTCTGTCATGTAGAGCAAATCTAAGTAGGACCGTACAAGTGGCAAGGGAGCCTGGTGGCAAGACACAGTGATGGCACAAAAAAGACCTGGCAACCTGCTTCTATAGAGACGACAGCCTGCGGAGCAAGGTCCACTCCATCACAGGGAACAGAGCAAGGTCCATTCCCCATCACAAGGGTTGGAACTGACTTGATGGCCCAAACAACAATAGGCGGGGGGGTGTCCATGACTGAGGAGAAGGTCCCTAGTCAAGCCCTCAGACAGACACCGGGCACTACACCCTGCCCCTCTTCCCAGCGGTCCACCAACGATGGAGAAACAGACTCAGAGGTCACTTGTGGATGGCCATGCTGCTCCAGACCAGGCTCAATTCCCCCAAAAGGGCCTGTTAGGACAGTGACAGATGAGTGACAAGAATGTGGAGTGGGCACGGTACTGGACAAATGACAGAAAGCTCCCAGAAGGTAGCAAGGGGTCCAGTGCCATGTGCACAGGCAAGGTCAGCTTCCTGGGAACAAACACCAAACAAACATGGCCCCACACAATCCTCTTGAACTGCTGCTGCCAGAACCTCAGCGTGCGCTGCCATCAGCTCTGCTCCTGGTTCAGGACTCAGGTCAGTAAAAGGACGGGTGGGCGGGCGGAGGTGAGGGAGGCGTGCTGAGCACAGGAGCCCAGGCATCTCGGCAGAAACAATGGGGGCAGTTACAGTTCAAGAGTGCCGATGGCCACAGAAATGCTGGCCGTCCAAACCCACCAGCGTCTCTTCTTAACGATCACAACTCTGCCTCAAGGTTACTACGAGCTTGAAATCCACTTGACAACACCCAAAAAAAACCATGGTTATGTTTGTGGGCAACCAAATTTTGATGAGGGTGCCAAGACCATTCAATGGGGAAGCATCAGTCTTTTCAGCAAACTGTGTCATGCCAAGAACACCTCCCAGTAGCCAGAGCGGATGCCACCTCACAGCACCCCCACGTGTGCAGTGCAGAGCTGGTATTCAAGACTGTGACCCGATCACCATGCTTGACTTCCGAAGGTCCCTGGGGTGGAGTTCGAACCACCAACCTCTCAGCCAGTAGCTGGGCGAGTAACCATCTGCACTGGTCAGGGACTCGTACCTCACACCAAATGGACCAAAGACTTACACAGAGAGGCTGACACTATAGAACTCTGAAGAAAACACAGACGTAAGCCTTCACAACTTACACTTGGCACTGCCTCTTAACTACACCACCAAAAACATAACACAACAAAAGAAAAGGAGGTCAACAGGACTTTATTAAAAGTGTTTGCAGCAGAGGGCATTATCAAGAGAGGTGAAAAGAATCCTGAAACACGCTGAATTACAAAATAAAGAGTTGAAACAACTTTTGTAAATCTGATTCGAACTTGTATATCCAGACTACATAAGGAACCCTCACAATTGAGCAACAAAAAAACAAACAAGCTAATCACAAAATGGTCAAAGAAGTGACCTAGCTAGTTCTCCTAGCGTCAGACTGCCGCTCAGCATCATTACTCATTAAGGAAATGCAGACCACAGCCACAAGGAGATGCTCTCTCCCAGGTCAATGCCAGAAAGACATGAAAACTGATAACTCAAGCAAATACGTGCATGTTCACAGCAGCACTACTCATTCATAAGAGTCGAGAGATGATGGAGACACACAATGCGGCCCCTCCCTCTCTACACTGGAATACATACTGTCATAAAATGGAAGGGGGTCCTGACGCACGCTACAATGGGGACCAAACACAAAAGCATCAGTGAAAAGACAGCAGACATACAGGATCAGCACTGGACAGGTAACCACAAGAAAGACAGATCAAACCCACCAGCTGCTCTCGGAAACCTTAATCGGCGTTGCTATGAGTCGGAACCGACTTGACGGCACACAGCAGGGCTGGGAGGAGGGGGAATTGAGGAGGTAGTGACCACTAATGGGTACCGGTCTCTTTTTGAGAATGAGAATTTTCTGGAATTCGATACTGATGATGACTGTATATAATTCTACTTCAAGCTCTGGGACTTGCTCTCTGAGGAGGGTCCCGTGAAGTCTTGAACAGAGGTCACTGAGTCAGTGATAAGAAGGAGGCTGCCCAGCAGCTGAGCAAGAGATAAAGGGAGATAAGCAAAGCCGCTGGCTCTCCCCACCCACAGCTTCCGAATGTCACTTCCCTCCTCAGGCAGCCCAAACACGCAGTCCTGAGGGGAAGGGGAGCCAAAACGAGGAGGACAGGGCAGGACCTGGACAAGTGTGTATCATGGCCCTCACTGGAAACATGGCATAATATCACATCTGGCCAGCCTGCTCCACAGTTAACCAGCTTCAGGGCTTTGAACCCGTACAGCTGTCCCATTTTACAGAGGAGGGTGCATGAGAGGCAGAGCCACCTGTCCAAGGCCAGGCGGCTGGTCAGCACAGAGCCAGGACTCCTGGGCTCTGTGGAGCTAGCAGGTCTTGGAGAGGTTTCTCTCTCAAACACAGATACACACAGACATAACACCAATGCATGTGAAGACACACAGAGAAACACACACACACAGACCTGCCACCAACCATCTGGGGTCACAGGGCATCGTGAGGGTCAGGACCCTGAAAGTCACCTCATGAGACAGGCCACCACACCCAGCCCCAGCGGGGACCCAGGCACAGAAGACCCATTAGTAGCACTCCAAGAGCCACCTCAAGTCACCCCAGCTGGGCTCCTTAAAGCCTATGGGCCTCAGGCCAGCGTCTCTGTAGCCACAGAAAACCAAGATGCAGAGAACTGGCCAAACTGGTGCTGGGACCAGCCGACACGCCTACCCGTGCCCTAGGGGTGGAGGCCTCTGTGCTGCCACTGAGGGTGACCAGCAAGAGGCCAGTCCCTAGAGCCTCCCTCTTCTCTGACACTAGGTGGGGAGGGACCCCTACAAAAGCCATAAGACCCAGTTCTGTGAAGTCTCCTGACCAGCCCAGCATTGTCCCAGGCCACTACTGCCTGCCCATGTCCGGCCTTTGGGCTCCTGTAGGACACCCCCAGTCAGAGACAGCAACTCAGAGGAGTCCCTAGGGCTGAACGTACGAGGCTGTTAACTGAAAGGCTGGAGGTTCGAGTCCACTCAGAGGCACCTTGGAAGAAAGGCCTGGCAATGCACTTCTGAAAAGTTAGTTATGGAAACCCTCTGGCGTGCAGCTCTGTCCTATCGGGGTGGACCTGACGACCCGGGGGAAGGTGGTGATGGTGCGGCTTGGGCGTTTGCTGCTCTACTCTCTCTGCTCCTGGATGTACACTGCATGTTCTTTAAGTTCACACGTCTGGCTCTGCCCTCAGTCTTCCTTCCAGCTCTGCGTTTTTAATTCAATGGCAACCTGGGCGCCTGACTAGCCCTGGGAGCTGGGAACTCTTCAGAGCCCACACCACTCCCTGAGCTCCCCAGGTTCCCTCCCCAAGGCAGGCTTGTACCCTCAGAAGTACTGTGAGAGGCAGCTCTGCCCTGGGACCGGAGGGCCACCGAGCCGTTTGTCCAGAGTCCTGGGGGTGCAGTGGTTAAGGAGCTGGCTGCTAACTGCAGGGTCTGTGTCTGTCCGCATAAACAGCGGCCAAGGAAACCCTCTGGGGTAGCTCTGCCCTGTCATGTGGAATCGCCTCAGTGGCAGCCAACAAGTAGTACAGTTAACACACTCGGCTACTAACAAAGGTTGGAGGTTCGTGACCACCCAGAGGCATGTTGGAAAGACCTGGATCTCTACTTCTGAGAAATCAGCCACCAACAACACTGGGGAGCAAGGTTCTGCTCAGACACACACTGGGCAACTTGACATCCCCCAACAACTCGTTGATCAAAGCCATGTGGAGCCCATACATAGCCCCAGGCATCCCAGAGCCTCCATGCTTCTGTCAGCTGCCAAGTCCTGGCCCCTAGTGTCCGAGGGGGGCTGCTCCCTCTGCAGCAGAGTGTAAGAGAGCAGGGGTAGACTCGCGGAAAAAAGGCCTCGATCAGCAAACACACCCAACGGGGAAACTCCACTCCCCCAGGTGGGGGCCACTGTGAGGGCAAGTCTGCACACATACCAACAAGACACACAGAGCCACAGGCAGAGCGGCCTACACACACAGAGAAAGCGAGACTGGTGGACATATAGCAGATACCCCGAAAGCTGACAGACCAACAGACAGACACACTGACACATCAACACACAGACACAGGAGCTTGCTCTGGGGACCACACAGCAGACTTCCTTCAGTGGTGACTTGGAGGACACCAGGCCCAGGACCTTGGAACCGCCTTTATAGAGAGCAGGAGAACGCACCCAACAGCGTCAGGGAAGCGGGCTGTGGCGCTGAGAGCCCTGGGCCCTGGCCTGACTCACTGTGGAAGCAGCCAGGCCTTCAGCTCCCTAAGCTTCAGTCAGGGAGACAGAAAAGCACAGGGCTGGGGCACACGGGAGCCCCAGGTGGCAAATGGTTATTAGCAAATCAAAAGGTCAGAGGCTCGAGGTCATCTGGGGTACCACCCCACTGGAGCTCAGCTCTAGTCTGATACCCAGAAGACAACTCACTGACACGTGGTTTGCTTTGGGTTTTGCGGGCCATAGGAGAAGAGGCAGCAGCCTGCTTCTGGACACCTGTCCTTGGACACCTGTCCTTGGACACCTGTTCTCTAGGCTCGCTAGGCGTCAATGTGACTCCACCGCAACGGGTGTGGGTCTTTTTGGTAATCTGAGGATTAGCCCCAAATCTACCAAAAATGTTTAGAGAGCCACCGGCGATATTACATGGATACACAGAGACAGGCAATTTACAAAGAGATGCCTCCTGCAGCCTAATGAAGAAGTGGGTGTGCTCCGCAGCCAGCGCAAGGGGGAGGGGGGAGGAGGGAGTCCACAGGAGTCCCCGAAATGAGGCCACCC